TATTCGGACTGTTATCCTCATATTCATTGCCATATTCACAACATTTCGGCCTCTATATCTCTGAGATGAATTATGATTACTTGCATTATTTACATTATTCGGACTGTTATCCTCATATTCATTGCCATATTCACAACATTTCGGCCTCTATATCTCTGAGAAAGAGGTATTATGATTACTTGCATTATTTACATTATTCGGACTGTTATCCTCATATTCATTGCCATATTCACAACATTTCGGCCTCTATATCTCTGAGAAGAGGTATTATGATTACTTGTATTATTTACATTATTCGGACTGTTATCCTCATATTCATTGCCATATTCACAACATTTCGGCCTCTATATCTCTGAGAAGAGGTATTATGATTACTTGCATTATTTACATTATTCGGACTGTTATCCTCATATTCATTGCCATATTCACAACATTTCGGCCTCTATATCTCTGAGATGAGGTATTATGATTACTTGCATTATTTACATTATTCGGACTGTTATCCTCATATTCATTGCCATATTCATAATGTTTCAGTCTCTCTATCTCTGAGATGAGGTATTATTTACTTGTTCATTATTCGGACTGTTATCCTCATATTCATTGCCATATTCACAACATTTCGGCCTCTATATCTCTGAGAAGAGGTATTATGATTACTTGCATTATTTACATTATTCGGACTGTTATCCTCATATTCATTTTTTTTTATTCACAACATTTCGGCCTCTATATTCTGAGATGAGGTATTTGATTACTTGCATTATTTACATTATTCGGACTGTTATCCTCATATTCATTGCCATATTCACAACATTTCGGCCTCTATATCTCTGAGATGAGGTATTATGATTACTTTGCATTATTTACATTATTCGGACTGTTATCCTCATATTCATTGCCATATTCACAACATTTCGGCCTCTATATCTCTGAGATGAGGTATTATGATTACTTGCATTATTTACATTATTCGGACTGTTATCCTCATATTCATTGCTATATTCACAACATTTCGGCCTCTATATCTGAGATGAGGTATTATGATTACTTGCATTATTTACATTATTCGGACTGTTATCCTCATATTCATTGCCATTTCACAATTTTCGGCCTCTATATCTCTGAGATGAGGTATTATGATTTTGCATTATTTACATTATTCGGACTGTTATCCTCATATTCATTGCCATATTCACAACATTTCGGCCTCTATATCTCTGAGATGAGAATCCCTTATGATTACTTGCATTATTTACATTATTCGGACTGTTATCCTCATATTCATTGCCATATTCACAACATTTCGGCCTCTATATCTCTGAGAAGAGATTATGATTACTTGTATTATTTACATTATTCGGACTGTTATCCTCATATTCATTGCCATATTCACAACATTTCGGCCTCTATATCTCTGAGATGAATATTCGTATTATGATTACTTGCATTATTTACATTATTCGGACTGATATCCTCATATTCATTGCCATATTCACAACATTTCGGCCTAATATCTGAAGAGGTATTATGATTACTTGCATTATTTACATTATTCGGACTGTTATCCTCATATTCATTGCCATATTCACAACATTTCGGCCTCTATATCTCTGAGATGAGGTATTATGATTACTTGCATTATTTACATTATTCGGACTGTTATCCTCATATTCATTTGCCATATTCACAACATTTCGGCCTCTATATTTCTCAGATGAGGTATTATGATTACTTGCATTATTTACATTATTCGGACTGTTATCCTCATATTCATTGCCATATTCACAACATTTCGGCCTCTATATCTCTGAGATGAGGTATTATGATTACATTATTCGGACTGTTATCCTCCATATTCATTGCCATATTCACAACATTTCGGCCTCTATATCTCTGAGATGAGGTATTAATTACTTGCATTATTTACATTATTCGGACTGTTATCCTCATCTTCATTGCCATATTCACTACGTTTCGGCCTCTATTATAATTCCTTACATTATTTACATTATTCGGACTGATATCCTCATATTCATTGCCATATTCACTACGTTTCGGCCTCTATATCTCTGAGATGAGGTATTATGATTAATTGCATTATTTACATTAATCGGACTGCTATGCTCATCTTCATTGCCATATTCACTACCTTTTGGCCGTTGTACGCTTCAGGTATTTAGAATTTCGAACTTAACCCTTCATTTCGTCCACCGGAGTAGATTGTTCTTGTTCCACATGCTATACCTCTTCCGGATGTCTCAGTTATTTCCTTTAACTCAACTTTTCACATTTTTTGTTCACCACTGCTGTGGCCTGGTATTGAACTCATAAACCTTTAGGTCTAGTCACTTGATCCAACCAACATCTTTATCCACTGGGCTATGTGTGGGGATAACGACGTTGGTTAGTAAACGAAATAAAGAGTTCAAAGATTCAAAATTCCAAACGCCTGCAGAAAACCAGGATGTGCAACGGCCGAAACGTTGTCAATGAAGATGAGGATAACAGTCCGAATAATGTAAACAATGCAAGTGAAGATAAATCTATTCATTGTTAATACTACTATTACTACTACTACTACTACTAATAATAATAATAATAATGAAGTAGAAAAAGAAGAAATATAGAACTCTCGAGTACTTTCTACTTTATAAATGGAAAGGGTGTTAAAAATTACCTAATTTTACTTTTTTAAATCCTGAAATTTTTTCAAACACCCCCCTCCTTATAAAAAGAAGAGAGGCCAAGTCATGAACAGTAATAAAATGACCTGCGACATGAATACAAAAATCGTCTCTCGGTGTACGGTGGAGTAATGGATAGCGGCTTGGATTGAGGAATCAGAGAGCCGAGTTCGAATTCCAGTCGAATCCATTACATTCACTTACGTGCTAATACCCTTGGGAAAGGTGTGAATCCTCTTCTTCTCCTAGCTATGTGTAAAACTTTAGCGAACATGGCTCTCCACAATTTCCTGACTTTATAACTCTTAAGAACTTTTGTCTCCTTCACCATCCATTCACTCAAGCATGCCAAGTAGATAGTGTCGTAGCTTTCCAGTGTCTCGCTTACCTTCAATCTTCCTTATAGGGAATCAAATTTCCTAATCTCTTCTTCCCCGTTATGTAACCCAGAAACATCAGCTTTTTCTTCCTATGTGTAACTGGGCACAGTGGAGTAATGGATACCGGCTGGGCTTGAGGAATCGGAGAGCTGAGTTCGAATTCCAGTCGAATCCATTACATTCACTTATGTGCTAATACCCTTGAGAAAGGTATGAATCTTCTTCTTTTCCCTCACCCTAGCTATGGGTAAATAGCAGGACAGATCGGATTCTATAGCCTTGGATGGCAACTGGTCTACCGCAGAAAGAAATGCCAACCTGTTGCGAGAAAAAATCTGCCTCGTCAGTCATGTATCGAAAGATAAATGATCGCCTAAGCGTGTATCACGCATGGCACATAACTGACTGACTTTCCAGTCGAATCCATTACATTTACTTACGTGCTAACACCCTTGCGAAAGATATGAATCCTTTTCTTAGTGGACGAAATAAAGGGTTCGATTTGAAATTTACCGCTATGTGTAAATAGCAGGACAGACTGGAAAGCCTTGGATGCCAACTGGTCTACCGCAGAAAGAAATGGTAAGATGATGCGAGAAAAAATCTGCCTCGTCAGTCATGTATCAAAAGATACATGATGGCCTAAACGTGTATCATGCATGGCACATAACTGACTGACTGACGTGCTAATACCCATGGGAAAGATATGAATCCTCTTCCCCCATCTATGGATAAATAGCAGGATAGACCCGGTTCTATAGCCTTGGATGGCAAATGATCTACCGCAGAAAGAAATGGCAACCTCCTACGGGAAAAATCTGCCTCGTCAGTCATGTATCAAAAGATACATGATCGCCTAAGTGTTTATCACGCATGGCACATAAAAGAGAAATATACATTGATCACCCACTTTGCGTCCACAAACTTTTACAAGGAAATCCCTAATATGAATCATATCCTTGCTACACTCATTGTATGAATTCTGACTGACGTGATAATACCTTTGGGAAAGATATGAATCCTCTTCTTCCCCTTCCCCAGCTATGGATAAATAGCAGGACAGACCGGGTTCGGCCAACTGTTCTACCGCAGAAAGAAATGGCAACCTCCTGCGGTAAAAAAAATTACGTCGTCAGTCATGTATCAAAAGATACATGATCGCCTAAGCGTCATGTATAACTGACTGACTGATGGTGTATTAATGCGACTTGTTGTCACTTTATCTCCTTTGACTGAATGAAGCTAAACCCATTTAATGTTAATAATAATAATAATAATAATAATAATAATAATAATAATAATGAAGTAGGAATAGAAGAAAGCGGACAAGAAAAAAAAATCGTAGATGTAGGAATAACTAAAATGATAATTAATTCTCAACACAAATATTATTCTTTTCTTATCCACCATTTTTATTTTCTTTAGAAAATTAAAACAAAAATTACGACCCGAATTTTATGTTTCTTGAAATGATTACTTCAGTTTCGCATTTGAGCACACCAACTCGGTGGTGTCTCCCACAGGAACCCCGGGCCAGATATTGCAGAGAGACCCCGAAGAAGTTAATCAGGACAGATTGTTGGAGAACTAGCGAACGAACGATAAAGAAAAAGAGAAAAAAAAAAGAAGATGAAAGAAGTTAAAAATTGATGAGAAGACATGAAAAAACAAACAAGGAAACATCTTTCATCAAAAAGACCTCGGAATGCATATGTTTCTCTTTCGGCTTATGTGAACCACGCTTTCTTAATTTCCTTAATTATTAACAGAAAACTGGATATTAAATCTGCCTATGAGCTGATGTTCGTTCTTGGAAATGTATTACCGGGGAAGAATACTCAGCCCCATGATAATGAAAACACGTAGAGTGTGCTTGAAGGCCGACGTGTATGCGTCTATTTACGCGTCTGTGTGTCTGTGTTTGGATATGCATATGTGTACAGAATCATGTATATTTTTTGTATATAAATCTGTTGAAATATCTATCTATCTATCTATCTATCTATCTATCTATCTATCTCAGTCTGTCCCCATGTATCTATCTAATTCTGTTCATATCTATCTATCTATCTATCTATCTATCTATCTATCTATCTATCTATCTATCTATCTATATATATATATATATGTATATATATATATATATATATATATATATATGTGTGTGTGTGTGTGTGTGTGTATGTATGTGATAAATGATTGATTTGTAATATCCGACAAAGTGTGTAAAAACAGATTTTGAAATTTTTTATTTTAATGTTGACTTTAGTTCCTTTGTGTGAACATTTTCATGTATATATATATATATATATATATATATGTATGTGTATGTGTGTGTGTGTGTGTGTGTGTCTGTGTGCGTGTGTGCGTGCGTGTGAATGTTAGCGCATTTAAAATGAATGTTTGGGAGGCATATGAGGTGGCAAGGTGAAGTGTAAAATATCTCACGAGATAGAACGAAATGTGTGTAAATTGCTGCGATACGCGCAAAGCACAGCCATATTGAGAGTGGAGGACAGTCGAAGGGTCGTTTGTGCACAAAGTTCGAGACGAGTTGGGCACCTCCAGCAGGGATGCATCGCTAGTATTTAAGCGCCGATAGCATTCACAGCGTTCGAAGAGTATAAGGGCCCCCACCACCATTCGTACAACGGGTGCATGTCATTATCGATGCGAGTTCCAGGTCGTCCATGAGAGCCATTGCCAGAGATCTACAGGTGTTCTATGGCAGAATCCCCAATGTGCTACATTCGGCACAAGTCATACGTGATAATGAAAGGGCAGTTCATGCCTGCGCACACACAAGTTGTTGCGAGTAAAATGATTCCTGAACAAGTTGAAAAATCCAGAGGAACCTGGAAAATCTGTTTTTTTAGGATAAAAATATTTGAACCAGGATGAAAACGTGAATTGGAGAAATGACAGAGAAATATGCAGAAGCTTCTAATGTCGCCATGTTATGCTCACTAAGTTTACACTTCTGTAATCGTTGTAGGGGCGATGAGTAATGAAGATCACGTCATACACCACTACCATTTTTATTACATTATTTCCATTGTTCGGACTGTTTTCCTCATCTTCATTGCCATATTCACTACGTTTCGGCCTCTATATCTCTGAGATGAGGGATTATGATTACTTGAATTATTTACATTATTCGGACTGTTATCCTCATCCTCATTGCCATATTCACTACGATTCGGCCTCTATGTCTCTGAAATGAGGTATTATAATTACTTTCATTATTTATATTATTCGGACTGTTATATTCACCTCCATTGCCATATTCACAACGTTTCGGCCTCTATGTCTCTGAGATGAGGTATTATAATTACTTGCATTATTTATATTATCCGGACTGTTATATTCATCTCTATTTCGGCTCCATATTCAGTGCAACGTTTCCTGGCCTCTGTATCTCTCTGAGATGAAATATGATTAATTGCAAAAGTATTTACATTATTCGGGCTGTTAACCTCATCTTCATTGTCATAACGTTTCGGCTTTTTCTTTTTAGAGATACCAGTATTTAAGTAAATGCTCTGTTTATAATAAACAGTATTAAATAACATTTACCGGCCTGAATGTCCGAGAAATTTTCATAGAAAATATTCGTACTTTGACAGGATTCGAACCTGCATTCTATACGGAACCGTCATTTACGCTGACGTGCCTTAACCGACTCGGCCACAAAGGAGCGTTCGGTAGGCAAGGTCGAATTTACTGCTTATAAACTTCAATCTTCCATGAATCTCGCACATTCATAACTGCTCATGGCGTATCAAATGCAAACAAATGACGTCATACATTAAGCATTGGACAAATATTTCAAAGGACGAATATTTTCTATGAAAATTTCTCGGACATTCAGGCCGTTAAATGTTATTTAATACTGTCACCAAACGAAGAATAAAAGTCCATATACACATGTCCGGAAAATGAAGAAGGAGGGCCTGGAGAATCTGATACAAGTCAAATAAAGGGAAAGAGAGACAAGGAAAAACAGCGCGTGACATACCTGACGAGCTTGAGTAGGTGGATGACAGAACGTGATCTGGTGGAGGAAGCATAGCGAAGGAGCTTGCTGAGAGTTGCAAGGGATAGAGAGAGGTGGAGAGCCATGATCGCCTACGTCTTGGAAGCACATAAAAAGAAAGAAAGTTTAAAGTTTACGGTAGACGATGTCAAATGTACAATCCAATATACAATCAAAAATACTTTTATAAACTTTGGAGTGGATTCTTGACACCAAAACAAGGTGAAATGCCCATATAAACATATGTCCAAAAGGTCATCGTTGTAGCTCCACACACCAACTCATATGAAATTTTCAAAATGCCCTCTGGTTTCTTCTATACACGCATACACCCGTCGGATCATTGATTGGTGGAGACTTTCAAATACTCTGACACAGTGTCGAATGGTTTTCGCAGGCCCCCATGACACGTTGATGAAGCATATATGCATTATTAATGTCTGTTGTATAAACCAGCTGTTTTAGGTGGCTCCACAAATGAAACTCCAAAGGACTGATGTCGGGGGAACATGCTGTCCATGGAACTTGTCATCTTCTACCTATCCATCTTTTACGGTAGATGCAAGCCAGTGCATCCCGAACAATGTGACTAATATGCGCCAGAATCCCATCATGCATGAGCCACACGCGTCTTCGTCTTCGCATGGGTACATCATCTAGCAGGTCTGGGTGTGTGTTCGAAATAAGACTTTCTGGGAAAGCATATGAATCTACCAGTCACTTACAATTCCAATCCACACATTAATCGTAAACTGATGCTGGTGTCTAGCCTGTATCGTGCCATGGGGATTCTGATCCGCCCACAAATGTTGGTCGTGTAAATTTGTTAGTCCATCTCTTCCAGCTGTTGGCTCATTTGTAAACAATACTTAATAAGCCAGCAACGGATCGGCAGTTTTTGCAATAAACCATCGGCATTCTAGGGCCACTTGACGTGTGCCTAGATCGTCACCGACCCCTATAGAATGTGTTCTTCGTGGTCAAGCGTACGGGCGGATGTCGGTCTTCCTCGATTCATAGTTTGTAATGCAATGGGATCTGTCTCAGTAACACGACGATAAACAGCAGCAAAAATTGGATGACTGTTTTCAGTCTGGAAACGCAATGCGATGCAGCCGTGCAGCCTCGAGTCCATTACCATTCGCGTGGCCGTATGCAAAAATCATATCTGTATGCTCACGATGAGTATCCTGCCAATGTAAAACGCAACAATTCTCAGTTAACTCACCACTACACACATTAAACATTGACGACAGACTAGGCACAAATGTACACGAATGACAAATATAACCTAGTCTACATAGCAACACAGCGCCGTCTAACGTAAACTTTCTTTAAAATTAACTCAAAAAAGAAGGATTTGCAGACATTATATGGCTGTTTGTTCTTGTTTACGTGTGAGGAATCCGCCTTCAAATTATGTAAAAGTAATTTTGATACACCTTATATATATATATATATATATATATATATATATATATATATATATATATATGGGAGATGTTATAGTTGTTACGACGAGAGAAAAGTGTATATTTCAAGGAGAAAGGAGAAGCCGCAAACTTAATAATGTGTAGTTTTTCATGTAGGCATAAATGGCATGGGTCATCCCAGGTTTTACAAGTTACAATAGGTTTTACAATAGAACAAGAACTTGTAGAGCCTGGGATGATCCATGCTCTTTATGCCTATATGAAAAACTACACATTATTAAGTTTCTAAAAAACGAAAATTTATTAAATCAAAGAAATGAGATAACCATTTTTTGCAGACACCACCAAATATTCGCCTTAAATAATTAGCATTTAAAATGGACAAAAATATAATAATAAAAATTTTCAAATCTATTAACAAGTTCAGTTAAAACAACAGGTTTAGAAACACAAACCAATCATAATCTTAAAGACCCTTTAAGAAATCATGAAAAAAAAAAAACAAAAACAAAAAAACAAAAACAAAACAAACAAACAAAACAAAACAAAAACAAATAAATAAACACCAAAAACTACCGGAACTACAACATCAATCAGTTAAAATTTTAGCAGGGAGTCGGATAAGATTAGCCATTGTAGACAGACAGAAAAAAAACCCAACCCAACCTTACACGACTCTTAGCATATAACAAACACCCCTACTTCAATTAAAGTAGTAATGCCTTGACAATGAAAAACAAACCCTAGATCACACCCCCATTTCAAAACTATAAATGAATAAAACATTCCGTAGAATAGTTATTCCAAACATATCCTGAGTAGTTAAGTAGTAGTTAAAGTTTTAAAATTAAAATGGAACCTGAATACTGCTGATCAGTTTCGAAACAGTAATTTCTGTGTCGCGATGGAATCATATTTTTTAAAGAAATAATTATAATCTAGGCTCTACTTCTGTATCGAGCACTGTTTTTTAAAAATAAAAACAAAAATAATAAAGAACTTCGGATCATCAATCTAACAGTTCTTTCCTATTATATGAATACACACACATATGGTTATTTCTGTAGATGTATTAGATATTATTGGTATATAATATTCGTATAAGCTTTATATATATACATGCAGGTTCGATAGGTCAGTCGAATATTTCTTGTAATGCGATAAGAAACGGTCCTTTTTTTGCATTCTTTCTTATCCTTTTCTCTCATCTTTTCACCATTTTTTATTTTGTTCTTTTCATTCTCTTCCTCTTGTTTGCTCCGTCTTTTCTCTTTCTTCAGTCTTTTTCTTTTTGTTTTCCTTCAACGAAAAAATGAGCAAAGTGAGTGGGTTTTAAACTCACTCACTTTGCTCATTTTCCCCTTTTCTTCCCCTCCCCTGTATTGATTCGTATTTTCCTTCTTATTTTAATTTTAAATCTTTTTTCTCTCTTTTTCATTCTTTTTGAGATTTCCTTTTCCTCTATCGTCTTTTTCTTTGATATTTTCTTTCTCATTGTTCTGTTTTCTCTCTTATGACTTTTTCCTTTTTTTTCCACGTCTTTGTTTCTCTATTCTTTTCCTTGTCTCTTCTTTTCCTTCTTCCTTTTCTTCAGTTTTCATATTCATTGCCATTTTTCTTCTTCTCTTTTCTTCTTCTTCTTCATTTTTCTCCCTTGTCCATCGTTACTTTTCTTTACACTTTCTTGCATTCTTTAGCCTCCTGCTTTCTTCCTCTTTTCTTTTTTTCTCTAATTTCCTTATTTCTCCTATTCTTTTTCGTTTTTTTTTATCTTCCCATCTCTCTCTCTCTCTCTCTCTCGCTCTCTCTCTCTCTCTAATTCCCCTTCTTTCCTTTCCCCTCCTCTTCATTTGTCAAGGTAATCTAGAATATACTTATTATGTTGACAAGTACACGAAAACTAATAATGTCAAATCTTCAGGGAGGCAAATCAGTAGGCACTGACCAAATTCTTCTCTTGTAACGAATCGGACAAAACTAATACAATTTCTCTTATTTATTTATCTTTTGTTTGTATTTCTGTTTATTAATTTTTTTCTTCTTTTCCACGCAGAAACTTTCATACCACATGAAGTTTTCGGTCGTTTTTTTTCTCTCGCTTTCTGTGTATCTTCTCTTCATTCCCTACGCGCCCCACCAAATACATTTACTTTTTTAGAATTTTGA